AAAACTATTGACCACTTTGACCATGGTCTTTGAAAAAGAAGCTGATTAGTCAGTCACTTCATTTGGAAGGGATTAAATTGATTTCAGATGATAAAGTAAAAAAAGGTGATGAGATTTTTGATCAGGACCTGTTATTTACATCCCATACCAAACAGGTTTTTAGATTTTCCTTATTTTATCTCCATAATACTGAAAACATTAGAAATATCCTGTCCAGGGGTGATGCTGAGAAACTTGTCCATGCATTTGTTACTTCAAGGCTGGACTATTGTAGTTCTTTATTATCAGGACGTCCACAAACTATAGTTAGAAGCCTTCTGTTGATTCAAAATGCTGCAGCCAGAGTTCTGATAAATATTAAAAAGAGAGATCATATCTCTCCTATCCTGGCTTCTCTTCATTGGCTTCCTGTTAAATCCAAAATGGAATTTAAAATCCTCCTTCTCGCATACAAAGCCTTAAATGACCAAGTTCCATCTTATATCAGAGATCTGATTGTTCCTTATGTTCCTAACAGTGCACTTCGCTCTCAATCTGCAGGTTTACTAGTGGTTCCTAGAATTTCTAAAAAATAGAAAGGGAGGCAGATCTTTTAGTTATCAGGCTCCTCTCCAGATGAACCATCAGTTTTCAGTCCATGAGGCAGACACCCTGTCTACTTTTAAGGCTCCTTTTTTATTAAGCTTATAGTTAGAGTGGCTCAGGTTATCCTAATCTATCTCTATAGTTATGCTGCTATAGGCTTAGACTGCTGGAAGACATATTTAGCCTATTTCCTCATTCTGCTTCATTCTGTCTCTATTCTCCCATTCTGCAGAATTTGTTAGTTCAATCTCTAACGCTATGCTCTCTCTGATTTTTCTAATAATAGTTTCATCTGGTCTGTTCATGTTTGGCTGTGACACCATCTTGGGGAGAAATAGTCTTGCTGCTGCATTTAACACCTTTGTTTATAGATGTTGGAGCTTGGCATGTTTTGCAAAGTAGTCCTGTTTCTCTTACTATGACTATACTATGTATGTATAACTGTATGTGCTCTCTTCATCCTCTGACATGGAAACTGGCTCATGGCTCATCTGACTGTGTTCCTGGACCAGCCCAACTGTGAAGCTGGTTGACAGTATTATACTTCTGCTTATTTCCATATGTCTGCTTCTGTCTCCCTAAACCGCAATCAGCCTCGGCAGATGGACGCTCACAATGAGTCTGGTTCTGCTGGAGGTTTCTTCTTGCTAAAAGGGAGTTTTTCCTCTCCACTGTCGCTTATATCATGCTTAGTGTGAGGGACTGCTTTTGAGTCAATGAGTCGATGCAATCAGCTGGTTTTCCTTAGATAGAAAACTCCGGACCAATCTGACTGTATGATCTGGTTGAATTGTTTGTTTAAGAATTTGCAAACTTGAAAGATTAAAAAATGTTAGAACATAGATAGTTAAAGATATCCCCCCTAGACATGCTGCATTAATTTTAGCAAATTGTAGTTCTACACATATTTCTGTGTTGTTGTTTTTTTTAGTTAATACTTTCTGATGGCCAATCACGTCAAAGCTTGTCAAAATAGGCTAAAAGATTGTAGCGTGATATAATGTGGCAAAGTTAGGTAGGAATCTAAATGGAGTCCCAAACTGCATCTCCACCTGAACAGATCACTGATTAAATACGAGTTAAAGCAAATGTTAAAGCACTTTCTGTGAAACTGAGAAGGTCAAATCTAAATCTATTGTCTCTCAACCATAAAATCATGGAAGGAGCTGAAGGATGAAGAGATTTGTTCACAGACTGAGACTTTTATTAGGAGATCATTCTGATAATCTTCCAACCACTCCAACTAGAAGGAATATATCAAATAAACTATTTCTGTTCTCCAAATTGTTTCTTTCGAAGCTCTGCTTTGTTGTCACTTCTTTATCTGGGTTACAGTTAATTGCACTAATAATTAAATGAAGCTAATGACCCCAGGCAGACAGCAGCTTCTGTGACCTTGATCTTTTTCTTGATAACACTGCAAAGAGAAGATCTCTGCCTGTTTTCTCTGTAATCACACTTCAAACGAGACCCAAAAACAAACCAGACTCACTTAACTGATTAACCTAAACACTTGTCAGCTTTATATTTTGAGGGGAATTCCCTCCAAACTTGTTAACTGAAGACTATAAAAGTAGGAAACCACTCACCAAACAAAAGTGACAGTGACTATTTGAAAGCATCCTCTTATGGTACGTTCAGACCGCACGCAGCAGGAGTAGCAAAAACACACATGCTGCTTAATTTCTGATGTTTGTAAAAGTTTATTTCTGACGCACGGCTGAAGCATCTTTGCCGCTCTAGCTGCTTGTTCAAAAAGTGGGTCTGATGCGCATTGGGCGGAGCTACCCTATCTTTTTTCGGTTTAAAAATGGAAGCTATATTTTTTGTGATCAGTGGGTAAAAAGTAGTTTCAATATGTTTTTAAGTGAGAAAGTCCACCGGAAAACTTCATCTGTGCAGTCAGTTCATCCAGATTATAACCCTGCCTCTGGTATTATTAATATTAATAAAACATGGTGTTGGTGGTGTGATGATCTGGGACGTTTAGAGGCCTAGATGAGTTTCAGCCATGGATCCATGACTAAGCTTTCTAAACAAACATCCTACAAGAGAACGCTGAGTTTAAGTTGAAGCCCCATTGGGTTATGCAAAAAACAAAAGATCCTCATCAATTAAAAAAATAAAAAGATAATTATTTCTGTTAAGGAGGAAAGTATTTTACTCTCTATAAGGTTTGTTTTGTTAGCCTTTCCAAGGTTACCTTTATCTCTTCTGCAAAACTAAGCTCATAGAAAAAACATAAACTAAATCTGTAAGAAACCAAACATCTAAAAACTTAAGAAAATATTCAATAATTTTTACACATTCGATTAGTAGAAGTATAATATAAATATGTTAAGCAGGAGTGAAAATTATTGATGGACTCTTAATCATAAATTTCTGTACACTTGTTTTTAAATGTCGTGTTGAGAGATTCGTTTTATCCTCATGATTACTTTCCACTTTAAGAACTGACAGGACTAACTGCAAGCATGAGCTCGCTCTCCTATCGCCTTTCACAGCTTCTGAGGAAAACAGCTGGCCTCGGTTGTTAAACGCATCAAATTACCAACTTTCTGCATCAATCTGTTCATAGGAACATTGTCCAAACTGCCTGCTGCTGCTTCTGGACCAGAAGCATTAACCTGTGGGGATAAAACTAAAAGCCTTAAATCCAAGACTGAGAGCTGGTTAAATGCTCCTGTGGGGACAATTGAAAAGTGTTTGGGAAATTAAAGCAGCCTTCGTGTCTGTTCTCATTATAAAAATGCATCTGCTAGAAGTCTAATTGTTTAAAATAAACCACCATCAGAGTCTGGCTATGCTTGTTTGTTGTCAGCACTTGCCTATTGACTGATAGTTGGATGAATCTTTTATACAGGAAAGAAAAAAGAATCTCAGATTCATCCAGACTCAGAAATACGACATGTTCTGCTCTTCCAGAATCCTGCCTGAGTAAAAACCCTGTTTAGATGAATCAAATGTTGCCATTACTGTCCAACCTGGCTTCCATGGCCGCAGGAAACAGGGGGGCTGGGGGGGCTGCACCAGCCCCAGTGGTGAGTGGAAGACTTAAAAAAAAATATATAAAAAAATACTTCGCACAATTTATCAATTTCTTTTGAATATTTTGGGAAATGATTTTGATGTTTTTTTATTTTTACTTTTACGTGTATTTGGATTTCAATAAAATGATTTTGAGGACTGAATAAAACCAGTTCATGGAAGTTACATTGTTATGGCAACGTCAAGCAAGCGGTATCCCGCTCGCAGCAGCAGACTAGTGTTACAGCTGGCGCTGTAAATTTGTATGTAAATGTAAGTGTGCAGGTGCCAGTTGCTGATTGGTTCCAGGACGATGACGACATGACATCCCATTGGTGGCTTAAAGTCAGAATGCTGAGAAGAAATTCAGAATTCTGAGATTAAAGTTGGAATTCTGAGATTAAAGTCGGAATTCTGAGATTAAAGTCAGTGACAACTATAAAAAGGCTGCTGATGTGGACTTCCTGGTTCCGTCCTCCACTCTTCCCAACTTGCCACACGGTTAACATCTGAATAATCTGGAGCTTGTACGAGTGAATTGCCTTTTCTGTTGCTTAAGTTTTCTCCTGTTTTCTTAGTTAGGGAGGAAAGGTGACTGTCATTTGTTTACTTATACTGCAGTATGTAAGTTGGTTCATTTCTTTGTTTTAGACAGTTGCCTTTTGTTTGTTATTTTTGGCATATAGCTCTCATCTGAAGTCATTTGCTCCATTTATGATGTAACTTTAGAACTATTTTCCTTTTTGTAAATAAATCACTTTCTAAAGATGTGCAACTTTGTATGTTTGAGCTGCTTGGGATAGGAAGGGGATGGATCCACTCTTTAATATGTTATGGTCTGGCAACCCTAGACGGGTCGTAACACTAGTATATTTACATAGTCTAATGACAGAAACGAGGAGGAAATATGCGACAGAAACGCATTTCGAATTCTTCCACTTATGAGAGACGCACCTGAACATTTGGACACCTGTAACCAGGCAGGGCACCCTCCCTGTAGCCCCAAGTAAGAGCATAATGCCGCCGCATACTTTATCTATTCCTGCAGTTTAACGTAACCATAGTATTTTTGAGTGTTATTTTGATCTTGGTGTTTTTGTGTAAGGGAGAACTGTTCAATAATGCTTAATAGTATAATATATAGTGTTATTGAGAAGTTTAATTAATAATGCTTATATTCACCTGAGAATTGTAATGTCTGTGTGTTAGAGATGCACTAAAGTGTATACAGCAATAAAGTAGTGAATCTTAATCTATTTACTTATTTATTTTTATCGTATTTTAAATCGGTTTATAGGCTCATAAGTCTTTTGTCCAAGAAAACAAAGATTTTCACAGCTCCCACTGTTCAAAAACTACATCCAGCAGCCCAGCTATCTCCCACCAACCTTGACGGCGCTCTCTGCAGTGGTGAGCGATGCCTGCAGCTTGTAAGATTTCTCGCGGTTTTCCCGAGCTTCGTCCGACACCCGCGCAAGCTCGGTCCTCAGCTTTCCGAGGGTTTTCTGGAGAGCGGCCTCCTGGGTCTGGAACTCTCGCCGCAGTTCGGCTTCGGTTCGTTTCCACGCCAGCAGGTTGTCTGCTGTCAGCTGCTGGGTTCTCTTCATGGCCTCCAGCTCTCGTTCATAAAAGGCTTGAGCCTGGTAATAATAATAAACAAAAAAGCTAAAGACATGGTTATGATCTTTGACAAATATCATACAAGTAAGGGTTTAGTTACATGAATCGACATAAATGGTTAAATTACACCTAAATTTATACCGTGTTGTTATTCGCCTCTGAAAAGCGAGTTTTCTAGCCCGTCTCATAACCTGCAGGGCATTAAGCTGTCCTTCAGTAATAAAGTTAAGAACCTTGGTGCTTTATTGTAATTTAAATCCCATATCAAACGGATTTCTAAGAATTACTTAAAAATAAATGAAAAGGGTAAGCGTTTAATCTGCTGTGATATCATCAGTACCAGGGATTCTTACATTAGCTGGTGAGGAAGGCTTAAAATACTCTAATTAATAAAACTAATTTTCAAAATAAAATAGTCATCTGGATGAATGAGCTGATCATTTGTGTCCAACTTATTATTTCTCTGACATATGAGCAACTTTTTAAAGAAAAGAACAAACAGAAATGCTTTTAAATGCATATTTTCTCTAATTTTGTCTGACCAAAGCTAACAAATGAGTTTACTGTTCTAACTGGAGTCTAAGCTGAAGTCAATACAGTGTATATTGTGAATATACTCTACTTTTACTTAAATAAATGTGCATTCAGCAAAGGCTGTTTATCATCAGTTGGAGACAAACTCCAAGGCACTCTAAACTAATTCATTATAAGCCACGAAGATGGGATCAGTAAATATAGCTCCCCATTGTAGAAGCAACCCCATAAATCACAGTTACAAGTTGGCAGGAAAAACAACAATTATCCAGTAATGTTGGATCAGTGGAAGCAATAACTGCTGTCCACCTTGCTGAGTTTGGCTTCGTATTCGTCCACCAGCCTCTTCTTGTCCTGTTTCAGCTCCTCCACCCGCTCCGTCAGGGAATCCACCTGCACCACAACACAAGTTTCATTAACTTTTTCTGCGGTTTGTATCTGAACGAAGCCATAACTTTTTAAACATGTAATTACTGCAGTCCTACTTTCTTCATACACTCTTGATGTCTAGCTGGAGAGTTCTGGGGCTTCATTGAGCTGCTCTATTTTTGCAGAAGTTAGGATTCGTTACCTCTGCTTTATGGAGCTGTCCCAGTTTCTCCTGGTCTTTGCTGTAGTTTGCGTTCTGACTCTGGTGGCTGCGAAGGAGCTCCTGGATCTCCTGTCTGTGCTGAGCCTTGAGCTCCTCCAGAGCCGCTTTCTTCTCCTGCTCAAACTGAGCCTGGGCCTGGCTGAACGTACGCAGCTTCTCCTCAAAGGACCGTCTCATCTCCTCCACCTCCCTAGACATGGACACCACGCGCTGCGTGTGCTGCCAAAGAAGACGGGAATGAAAGGCTGAGTCAAAGGAGAGGGGATTGATTTATGGGCTTCATACAGAGCCAGTGAATCTTTAAAATGGTCCATGCCAGGTGGAGATGCACTGGCTCAAGGGATTCAGATCGTCTGACTGCCAAAAACCTTCTGCTTTGGGTAAAGTCTCTTATCACCTACAGCATAAACATTAAGCTTGTTGAGTTTTTTTTTTACACAAATCCAAATATAACAAAGAAAACTCCACAGCAGGTCTATAAAGGTGAGGCCCATCCAGAAAACACCTTTAATGGTTCAATTTACATTCACTTTCTATTGGACTAAACGGCAGATAATTACATAGTTAACCCCCTTGCACTAACTAAACAAGAAGCAATTAGTCTTTGAACAGCAGTGCAGGTATGACGCACAGTCAGAAGCGAGCAGCTTCAAGCTGTTGATGTTTAGCACATCGAGGAGCTGCATTCGTCTCACATAACCTGCAGGTTTTGAATTGTTGTGTCCATATCTCTGTACGTCAGGGCAGAGCAGATACTCATCTAATTTCATGTAATCAGTTCTTAGTGAAACAATCTGATTTACTACTGCTTTGGATTTTGAGAGAATAAACATGAATGGATTCCAGAAACAGATCTAACCTATACACATTGCATTATCCGTAATATTAGCAACTTTTTCTCTTTAGACACATTAGAAGCGCAAACCTCATCGTTTTTACTGAGATTTTGAGCACAGTTCAACTCAGAGTGGCGCATATTTGTAAAGTGAATGAAAGATAATGTAGGCTATAGATTAATTACAGCTAAAAATCAGAAAAGTGGAAGAAACTTTTCTTTACTGCATTATGCACATGGCTTTTGCTTGTGTTTCTGTGTTAGCCAGCCTGACATACCAGCAAAATCAAGTCTTTTACATTCCACTTTACAAAACAGCTCAAGCTTGGTCTGACTGAAAGGAGATCACTAGCAGTACCGAAGAGGATTAGGGCCGCTGGGAAAAAAAAAAGTAAACTCGATCCATCCATCCATCCATCTTCCTCCGCTTATCCGGGGTCGGGTCGCGGGGGCAGCAGCTTAAGAAGGGAGGCCCAGGCGTCCCTCTCCCCAGCCACTTCTTCCAGCTCTTCAGGAGGAACCCCAAGGAACCCCAAAAAAGTAAACTAATTTTAAAATGTTATTTCAATTTAGTATGGGAATTCTGACTTTTTTCTCAGAATTGCGACTTTTTTCTCAGAATTCCGACTGAATTCTGACAATAGAAAAAAGTCAGAATTCTTAGATTAAAGTCAGAATTCTGACTTTAATGTCATGTTAAACTGAAATAAAAATTAAAATCAGTTAACTTTTTTTTTTCAGTGGCCCTAATCCTCTTCCGTACTAGCAGTGTTTCCTTTGAGCAAAATAAAAAAATAAAAATAAAAAAAAAGAAAAGCAAATTTGCAGTGTTTCAGTTTGGTTTGAGAAAAAGCGTCCTAAAGGCCAATATTTCTGACGCATAGCCTCTACAACTGTCAAATCTGTCTCTCACGCCCCCCGCGCAGAAGTTCTGCAACCGTCGTTGCGAACCTCAAAAAAATCCTGACTACGCGTCGGACGGTCGCAAACCCGTGTAGACCTAAAGCGGAAGTGCGCAGACAAAAAGCAGCTGTGATTGGTCCTTGGTTTGCCTTTCCAGCTGTCTGTGTAGACGTCCTTCTCAATTCGGTGCCTGGGCGCGCCATTTTTTAAAACCAAGGAACAACTACAATGGACAACTATGACGAAAGGTTAAGCAGTCTTTTTCCCAACTCCATTAACAGAACCTTTTCCTCTTCGATGTCTAGGAACTCTAGATCCATCTCTGTGACAGGGATGTCTATCAGAAGCGCCATTGTTGTTTTGGAAAATAAACACTCACACCCGCGCCGCTAAAGTTCTGGTGCCTTCTTGAATAGGCTCCCCCCTTGCGATTTGGTGGGAAACTGCTGTGCGTCCCTAGAGATTCCAGACCGATGGTGCAGAAGCATACCAGTAAAACTGGTTCGCGACCAGACCCAAGTGACATCTGATGTGTGCGGTTGCAGAAGTCTGATCTGCCCTTAAGTCGTCATCAATATTACATCATCACGCATGGCTGTAATAAACAGGAAGCAGAAGCTGCTATCTAACGCTGACCACAGATCAGTAATGAGGGGAAAGTTTTAGTGAAGGTGTTCCTATCAGGAAAGTTGTTCTGATATCAACATGTCACTCAGTAATGGCGTTTTTGATTCTAGCCATGTTTAAGTTCATAAAAGGAACTGTTAGGTTTATTCAATGACGATTATAAAATTAATGTGTGTGTGTGCATATGAAACATTGAAGCAAGGAGAT